AAAAAAAAAAAAAAAAAGGGTCTCCAGTATTATATAAGATATAAGACTCACGAAAGGGCCAGTTTAGAGACCAGAGAAAAAGGCAAATCTCCCATCTATCAGCAAAGCTATATCATATATCCACACTATAATTAATGAACTAAATTATCCAAATCTAAAAATAAGTACAAAAGCAAGATGATTCAGGCAGAAGTGGCAAATAATATAAAGACAAATAAACGGCAAGCAGTATTCTTAAACCTCTTTATTATCACCTTCCCAAATCAAAAGTTGCTCAAATTCTGGTCACATTTTCGTTTTCATGAAACCTTCCAATCATCAGAATTATAGTTCGAGTCTCATTATTCCTCTTATATACATTTTCCTATCTTAAAGGCACAGTGTCTAAACTGAACAAAAAGAAATCAACAAAGTGGAAATGTGACCTTTACAATACAGTTCATGAACACACCTTGCAATGGCTTTGTCCAGTATATGGACCACGAACTCTGCATCATTATAAAATGTTTGGATGAGAGGGGGACGATAATACAAATAAGTAAATTAAAAAATATTTTAATGGGACTCTTGGCAAATTTGACAGAAAGAATTATGCTCTTTTCTAGTTCATGTTTGTGACATAAAGTTTTGTGCTGGTATTTTCATCTACTATATATTCTGATCTTATTTACTGTAATTACACATCTTATTTACCATAAGATGTCAGAAATTTTTTGCATTCTGATAGGAGAAATAATTTCCTTAGCCCGTCGCCAGATATAAAAAGTGGACGTCGCTTGAGAGTCTAAAAAGTGAAACTTGCTGTGCATTAGTAGCATATTTACAGCTTCGAATATCTTGCCCAATTCTTAATTATAAAGGGGGTGTACCACTAATCCTTCATAATTGGTGGGTTACAAGATCAGTGAGAATTTAAGACAATGAAAAGGAAATAATCTCGATCACTGTCTTAAAAATTCAGCAATATATTATCAAGTATTAACAACAAGCTAGCTGTGCACAGGTACTTCACCAAAATTGATGAACCATATGCCAAAACTAAATTAAGATAGTAAAATATAAAGATTGTCCAAATTATAATGTTATTCATAATTATTGTATTAATTGTACCATCATTATTTTTTCAATTTCTATAATTAATGCAAATCCACATATAATCATATAAATTCTTTTATCAAAATTTGAAAATAAATTAAAGAACAAGGTGCCTAGGAGCCGCCTAAACCATCTAGCTAACATAGGTGTGACCCATCTCCAGCCTAGCCTTGGCGTAATTAACTTTGTAGGTACCTACACAGTGCTTACTTACCCGAGAACCTACGCCCTCGTACATGAAAATCAAGGTGTTTGGGTACCGCCTATCGCCTGCCTAGCTCGATTTGTTAGAACAATATATTCGCCTTTTTTCATTTTAGGCTTCAACATTGTAAAACACGTTTTTAGTATTCGTAGTAGCATTTTATATATTACCATTGTACTTAGTATAAAAATGCACAACCCTAATGTGCAGAGATTATTCATTCCATAATATTTTTCTTTTCCCTTCGCTGAAAACCTTTCTCTATCTCGACCTCTTCGTCTTCTTCACAATTGTGCTCTACAGATTCTATCATGATTAATAAAACAGAGACAGAAACAAAACAAAACAATATCTAGTTCTAGTTTGCACTGGCTCTGATATACATAGCGATCAATCAGGCATCACAAATCGATTAACTTACTTTTGAATTGAGGTTGATCCTTGGAAGGATAGTGCTTGCAAGCTTTGACTATGACAACTGAAGTACCTTTAGTTGATAAGCCCTGCAAATATATCTTTTCTCCACATAATTCATCTTCAACCTGTGAATCAGGAATGGAGCCAAGAGGCACAAAGGAAGCCCTCCATTTTTGCCACTGCACAAACATATTTGCAGCCTTCTCTGTGTCCAATGACCTTGCAATCAAGAATCTCATCAGGGTTGGATCTCCATAACCCTGACACAAAAAAACAACTACTTTTTCAGCTCTATTTTTTTTTTTAAAAGGGGGCTTTTATAACCTGAAAAGCTTACCTCAGAGGAATAACCAAGCTTTTGAACCAATTTCCTCATCTGGGCAAGCGCAAGTTCTTGATTTTCGTCCATAGCGGGAGTGAAGACTCGAGAGAGAGAGAGAGAGAGAGAGAGAGAGAGAGATGCTGACCGTTGACAAGCCACTCTCCAATATAATTGTGAGCTTTCTGTAAGACTGTAACTACTTCAAGTCTTGAAGAGAAGGGCTTTGTGGGGAGGTCTGTGGTGTGGACATTTTTTAATTCATTTGGATATCAATTTTCAACCACGCGAACTTCAAGTTGAAACGCTCCAATGGCAATTGGATTATATTTATGGCAAAGAAAGCAGAACCGCAAGTCATACGGTGCTTCGTCGGCTTTTTTTCCAAGATTTTTTTTTTTATAAAAAGTCATTCATAGCGACGTGTGGGTCAAGATCTATACCATTCACCCATCACTTCCACTTCCACATTCCACCATATAAAAAAAAAAAAAA